ACATTTAAACGGTTTGACTGACGGTTTCCCATGCCCCTGGTAAACTACTTCTACCATCTGAGACCAAAGTTGTTTGCCTGTGTGGCCAGAACTTCCGTTTAGCAGGAGGCATTACCTTCCTCTACGGCATCTTCATCTCCGTCATCAATGGCAGCATATTGTAATAGAGCACTATTCCCTCTCTTCCTCTGTCCCTGCCTACCACTAGCGTTAAACATTTCAACTTAAGTGGGAAAAAAAAAGAAAAGAAGAAAACATTTTAGTAGACACAAAGCGGCGCCTTCTTTTCTGGCCAAACAAAGGGGGCCTATAACCCAGAAAACAAGAAGAAAAAGAGAAGGAAAAAAAGCCTGGCAATAGAACCCTACGAAGGAAAAGAGGTTAAGCAGAGGAGTAGATGGAGGGATGGCTGAGACAATGGATGAGGACACCAGAGATATATATATGTATACGAGTATAGAGGAGAGGAAGAGACGCGTTAAACTCAAGCGTGGGACCCAGGAATGAAGGAGCAACGGAAGCCCAAGGAAGTGTCTGCCTCCTGGTGTTGTTAACAAGCCAACAGCAACACCAACAACAACAATAACAACGAGAAGAGTTGTAAAAAAAAGGAAAGGAAATTGTTACCCTACAGATAACTCTCTGTATAACGGAAAGCCAGACATATTTTTTCACAGATTTTAACGAGGGAAAAGAGACACCGACGACGACGACGACTACGACACTGATGATGCCCAACTCGTCTTCAATGGCAAAGGCATTTGTCTCTGGCCATAGGAATACCATACATATATATATGTATATATATATATATATCAGGATATCTCTTGTCTTATGTGGGTGGGTGTAAAGTGGGCGTGGCAGTTGAGTTTACGTGCTCGTATGACGATGGCAACATTGTGCACTCTGGCTTTCGTTTCGTTTCGTTTTGGGGTTATATTTGTCATAAAAGTGGCTACAAAGTGTGCCAGGTAGAGGCGAGTGATAGACAACTGAAAGTTGTTGCAAAAGGAGATAAAAAAGGGGTGAGCAGCATGTGGTGAGGGGACGTGGAAGATGAAATGTAACTACATTCCGGTGTCGGAATTGTTTCGATATAAAATCCTATTGGATAAACTTGTTTGCACTCAAAATGATTTGGAAGTTTAAGAAGTTGATGGGACAGGCGCAAATTTCTTGGTTACAATATTAGCTAGTGGTTCGAATTAAATTCAAAAATGATCTCTTGATTTATGACTTATTTATCTCAACTGAATGCCCCTTCTACAAATTGATGCTACATAGTACCATTATTTAAGTAAAGGGTGAAAGAGTGTCTCCTTCCGAATTCCATTTGCAGTTTTTCCCCAACTTGAACACAGCTTGTCTTGGAGTTCTTCCTTCCCGCTCTCTATCATTCTCTCTCTCTTTCTTAGTCTTTGGGCCATCGGTTACTTAGTCTGTTTGTTCATGACTGCCGCACCCACTCCTCCTCTGCTCTGGGCTCTAAGCGTTTCCTCTCGTGCATTCCTGCACTCGTAGACTCTCGGTGCTTAGTAAAGATATCAACTTGAAAATTGTTAGAGACACGCCCCAAGCACAACGCCCCCCACAAAAAAAAAAACAACTTCATGTTCTCCACTGGTAGCTTCTCTTCTCTCCACCGAATCCTTCTCTCTGTCTCCTCTTTTGGCTAAGCCAAAAGGAATTCATTCATTACAATCACAGCAACAACAGCCACAGCTACGGGGAAAACAATTTGAGCCAAAAGTTGCCCCACCCACTGCCCCGTCTCCGCTTCCAATCATAGCTCCCTCCCCTACCAGATCTGTGCTCCACTTTGTTTATCGCTCTTGACTTTGTTGGCCTTTTGATGCCCTGGAATAGGGTAATATGGTTAGGGCCAGATGCTTGAAACCAAAAAGACAAAAAACTTGTATATTTCATAAGAAATTTCTATAAAATATTTCTGCTTAGTGTTTCCACCACTATTCCCTATAATTATACTGAAATTTTATCACTATTTCATGTACATTCCATATTAAATATCCAACTTAAAGGGCATCTAATGCTTCGGCTTAAAAATTATATATTTTCTTCGTACTTTTTGGCCATGTCCGTTCTGTTATTGTTTTGCCTGGAAGTTTATTGGCATTTAACCTGCAGACCCGCCCCCAATTCAACTTCCCCCCCACCCCACTGATTGATTAGGGCGATCAGGAAATGCTAATTATTGTCTGCCCCTCCGGCGTTTAACGTCGATTTCCCATTTATTTTCCCACTCCAAAAAACTGTAATTAACAATTTTAATTTTGTCGCAGAGCAGAAATAATAATAAAAAGTTTTACTGTTCAAATTTAATTTAATTGTAGTTTGGAAAGTGATTTATTTATTTATTTACCTTCTTGATGTCGATAAAATTAATTTAAAAGATACATTTTTAATCCTTTTTTCTCAGCTCGAAAAACTTTGCTGCCGGCAATTAAAAAATGTTGCAACAACAACAAAAACATGGAAAACTTTCTGGCTTGCGAAAACTTTTTGCATGGCTCTGTGGGCGGCTGTGAGGTAGGTGGTGACAGGCAGGGGTTGGGTAAAAGGGGTGGAATCGGCTTGGTTTTAATGCCTTAACCCATCATTGCCCACCACAAAGTTTGTGTCGCTACTGAAGCATTTTAGTCAACCTAATTAGCAACTTGATGATTTTTTAACGCTTTATCGAGCACTGGCAATGATTTCATTAGCTTGGCTAAGTGCAACAGAAGGAGTGGCAGTACTGGATAGTGGGTGTAACAGCAGGGAGGAGTGGGTGGAGGGTCTTCACTGAAGTGCAGCGTAAATTGCTTCATGATTATTAAATTGCCTCTCGCTCTCTGGCTGGGATTCAGTTTTTGGGAAAATCTTTTCCATCCCCCCACCCAAAAACTTGTTGAGAAGTTGAAAATGTTGCAAATTAGTTGGGGTTAGTTTCGGCTTAGGGGCTTGACGCAACGATGCATGGCAATGGGTTGGGGGTTGGGAATGAGGATGGAGATGGGGTTTAAGGTGTTGCATGAGAATATTTATAGAATTTCATATATAAACAGAACCAAAGTTTAAGGGATAATCTAATTGAGCAAGGGAATTGAATCGACTTTAAAGTTCAACTAAAGCAGGACCTTTCCAAGGTTCTCAATCTTTATTGTTGCTAATTTCTTAATCATCATTCAACAATGTTGAACATTGTTTTACTTTTCTCTATTTATTCCTTTGCAACCTCCAAATCTCTCTATCCATATTTTTGATATAATCTACCTTCTCCCCCGCGCCACATTTCTCTTTGCAAACTTCTTCTAAATTCCCAGAAATGTCTCTTCTCCCTGACAGTCAAGACTCATTACCTTGTAAGCATTTCAAATTGAGCGTTAAATTCAACACGTAATATAAGTTTTATGAGCGTAGAAGCGCATAGCTTTATAGCTTATCACCTACCGTTACTCACCCCAGAAAAGATACAGATACAGGCACAGATACAGATACAGATACAGATATGTACACCCAAACATGTTATAACAATCTTTAAACGCAAGAAAATGAAACTTGTTTTCCTTTGAGCTTAACAAATTCAAACAAAGAACAAAGTTACGGGGAGGAATGAGGCTAAAGAACCTTTAAAAGAACTAAGGTACATAAAAGACACCATCTATCAACCCATAATTCGTTATAATCAGGCATCTTAGCATCTTTGATTTAGTTGGAAAACACACACACTATTTTTTATGGTAGCCCCGACAAATCCTATTTGCACGCTTACCAAAGAAAATCAATTGATTCCAGCACAAAAAGGAATCATAAAATTCCAAGTCTTCATTTGGGACCACCTTCAACCCCTTTGCCCCGTCTTTTATCATTGATCAGGCTTAGGTAAGGTTAGGGGACTGTTTTTTATGATCACGCTAAGATGTTTGCTTCCTTTTTTTAGAGCTCTGACTCATGCCGGATAGCCTTTTTGTGTTTTATTATTTGATTCGTTTAATGGCAATTAGTTGGAAAATTGTTTGACGTGGTTCAAGGTTATTAAATCCCAGGATTCTCTGGAAATCACACATGGAAAAGGGTACACTACGCTCTCTGAAGAAGACACAATCTCGTTATTATTAAATAATGTAGTGTCTGTTCATCGGCCCACACACAAAAATCCAACAGCAGCCAACGCAAATCTTAGGAACTCGAGTAGAAGTTCTCAAGTAAAAGGTAAATGTAGGCATGGGCGTCTGATGATGATTACAAGAATTTAAAGAGGTTCAGCAACAATTGCCGATTGTGTGGGTAATCTTTTACCATTAATCTCTTGAAACTAAATTAAATTTGCATCGCTTTAAGCTTTGTTTGGATCATTTGGCTAATAGATTTTGCTATCAATTTTCTACTATTCAAAACCAGCTCCATGTTGCTGGCAGCATGTGGCCAGCGTTCTCCTAGCTACCTTTGTGGATCGCAACATTTGCTGCCAGTGTAACGTGTATCTGCCAACATTGCATCTCAACATTGCGCATCTCCACCGTTCAGAATCCATCCGAGATCTCGTGCCGCATTTGTTATCTGTAAGTCGTCGGGTCTTGTCTTTAATCGTGGAGCCAGCCCCGCCATTTGCATAGACCAGAAATCAAGCCACACGCAAAGTGATACGTGCCGCATGCCCCATCTATGAGGCCAATCTTCCCATCTTGCAAAGTAAAACCAAACAAACAAATTCGTGCACAAACAACCAGATATCAGTAAAGATATAGGAATATATATATAGTACTTATATACGTACAAGTGGATCTGTGCATCTGTGTGTCAGTGCAAAGTGCGTGAGTGTGTGCGAGGGCGTTTTTGTCTTGCCGCTGGCATCACGGCAAAAGTCGCGCGCGTATTTTTTGAGCGGATTTGTAGGCGATTTGCATAAATGTCGACAGAAAAGTGCTCGAAAAAAGCCAACACAATTTCAATTAATTAAAATTTACTGAAAGTTAAAAGAAAATTTAACAAGAATATAAATATTTAAAGTGTCATATAAATACAAATATTTTGGCTGAAGTAGAAATGAAAAATTGAACAAATAAAATACAGTTAGAGCTCGTGCGAAAAAGCCCTAAAGCAAATTTTATTCAAAATAATTAAACAGAAAACAAAAACAAAATAAAATAAACGTTTCCATTGTTTAACCAAAAATTAAGAGGATACCAAAGTTTCATTGAAAAGAAGTTTGCATCTCAAATAACATTTCATCGGAAATTTTCCAGATGACAAATGGTTGTAGAATACGAAAATAAGTGTCATAAAATAATCTGCGTGCCATAAATGTTAACAATTAAAATTCCATTAATAAAAAAATAATGAAAATATACATTTAAAATTACACCTGAACAGAAAGAAGGAAAATATTTAAGCACAAGTGTCGGCAAGTGTCAAAACACAAAACGCAATAAGTAAAAGCTCACAAAACAAAGGAAAATGTTTTAAAAAATGAATGCATAGATAAATACATATATGCTAAATTATTTATATAGATCAAACAACAAAGGGATTTAAACAATAAGAGCGTGTGAAAAAAGTGAGACAAAGGGAAAAGAAAACAGAGAGGATCTCTCAATTCGCATTTAAGAGCCCGAAAGTAATACTCGAAATGGCGATGCCTCCCCAAGGAGGCGGTAGAGGCAGAAGCGTGCTACTGCTCTTTAATTTTATGGCGATTCTTCTACTGCTAATACTCATCGTGGCCGGGAGTGATCTCAAAGGAGCATCGGCAGTGTTCACTACCACAGCTCCACAGATGGGAAATCACAGTCCCCATCAGCAGCAACGTCTGCAGCTTTTGCAGGAGGCCCAGCAGCTGGAGGCGGCCCATCAGCGTCATCACCATCTGAGGCACGAGCAGCATCTGCGTGCGGAGCTCGAGGGTAATCATAAGCCACCATCTGTGGGAGTCGGACCTGGAGCTGCAACGGCCATGAAGCTATTCGATCAGCAATTGCCGGCGGTGGCCACGGGACAGCAGCAGCACCATTTGCGTCATCACAATCGCCACCATGTGACCTGGGAGCAGAGAGTCTTCCCCGCGCTGCGTCACCAGCAGCATCGTCTGGCCATGAGCTCCACTGCAAGACCCATCGTCACCACCGATGCCCCACATCCACCCCATTCAATGATGAGCAATCACAGTCGCTACTTTGATCGCGATGGAATATATCCGCCATGGGCTGAACCCAGGTCTACTCGTGGACCCAACTGGCGGCAGGAGGTGGAGGTGGATACCTCATCCGAAGACGATGATGATGACGACGATGACGACGACGATGATGAGGACTACGAGTATGAGGAGGATTCCAGTTCCAATGCCGTGGATGAAGAACTGGCCCGACAAATGCCGCGTTATTCGCTCTTCAGTCAAAAGTTGCCACACATCGAATCGAAGGAAGAGGAATACGATGCCTACGATCAGTCCGACGAATCGGATGTGAACTCTAACAAAAATAAGCATCCCAGTGTGGGTAATCCCCATGACAAGGCAGCGGCCAAAAGGAACATCTTCGATTGGCTCTTCAAGAGGGATAAGGAGAAGGAGCAGGATAAGCAGAAGACCCACAAAGACCATGCTCTAGTGGTTGTCAGGAAACCACACACGACAGAAAAGCCCGCAGAGAAGGCCACAGAGAGACCCACAGTGAAGCCCAAGTTGCAGCTAATCGACGCCAATCTGCAGGAGGAGGACGAGGAGGACTCCCCCGATGACTCCGACACCGAGGAGAGCTTCTCCAACGAGCAGTGGAACAAAATCGAGCACGAACACCATCTCAAGCAGCAGAAGCACCAGAAGGAGCTGCAGGCCCTACGGGAGAGTAGTCGCAACACGAACACCCCACTCATAAGGGGAGCCGGTGCCTCTTACAACATTGAGAATGAGGTGAGTCGTCTGGGTTGGCATTGCGCCCATTGTGTGCGCTGATAAGGCGGCGTCTCATCTCCATCCACAGATTCCATGATGTCATTAGCTTTTGTTGTTGCTCTCCCTGATCACTGACATTGCTCCATTGTAGTGTGGGGCGGCTGTGTGATGCTCTGTGTGGCACGAGGGCAGCCCCCTCTGTCTGATAAGAGATATGTATAGTGGCTGTTGGGGGATTCATTCAAAGATTTCCACAACAAAAACAGAAAAAAAAAAAAAGCTGTGGCCACAAATGACCAACAGATTTCGGAGGGGGGTCTGCGAGTATTTGGCTGTGGGCTCGGTTTCGAGTTTGATTTTGATTTTGGTGATTACTCAGTTGGTAAATCCATAAGTAAACAGAACGAAACACTGTGAGAAATTACTGAAATTTATAACATTTTATTATTGTAAGTTATAACAATAGGAATGCCATTACATGAAGACATTGCTCTACACCGTGAAAAATGATGTGAATTTATTGCATTTATTTTTAGTTGTAGTTCCTGAAGGAAATGCGAAAAGTCATTGCATATATTTTTGTTCTGTTTTCTGTACACACCTGCTTTATTTTCTGAATTAATAATTCCAAGCTAATTACACGAAAATTTTGCAATCTTTCTCCCAATTTCAATCCAATTTCTACCCATCTATTTCGCTCAGTGCTTTGGCCATTCCTCCTGCACAGAACGCACTGACCATGGCTAATGCCGTTTGCATTTTGGCTTACAACAAAAGCAATGCCCCATTTACAGGCAATGCGAACCAACAACTACAAACAATTTTGCTTTGCCCTCTGTTCTTGTCAAATATTTACCCAGTGTCGGAAAAGGCCAGGGGGGCGTATGTGGACGGCCGGCAGTTGGAGACCAGCGGTGGTCTTAGAGGAGGCGATAGGATACCAGAGAGCAGTTGGCGCTTGCAGCATTTGCACTTTTTGGCTTACCAGTCACCATTCACCATTGCGGATTGGCTAATTGAAATCAGCAGCAGAGACAACAATTACAAAAACAAAACCAACAGCTGCAACATCAATTACAACAACAGCTACAACAACAGCTACAACGACATCAGAACGAACTAAAACAACAAATGCAAAAACCTTGGACAAGACAACACCAACACGTTCAACAACAACAAGCCTCACGTTGCGAATATTTTGATACCGTTGCAGGTCGATTGCAGTCTCCTCTCGGCTATATAGTTTGGTAATACATATTTAAGTTATGTTTTTATACAACGAAAGCTACCTTTCTTGGCTATCTTTATTTTCTTTGTTGCAAATATCTGATCCAAGTCATCATACCCTTTGTTAAAGGGTACAGCAATTAATGTTTTGAATTTGATTTGAACTTTTTGGATTTCATTCCATTCTGTGAGATGATGGTGTTTGCTTTGAGTCGTTGTTTGTTGTCAGTTTTCGTATTATTTATTTTTTCTGCGGCGAATGGCCAATTTTAATTGCATTTTCATGCGTTTCTTTGATCCTGTGACCCTCAGGTCAGGTCTGTCCTTTGCTCAGTGTAATTACCTCGAAAAAGGACAAATTAAATTAGCCCCCAAAGCAAATAATATTGGTTCTGTGGTAGAGAGACTCCAGTGGTCCTCCGGTCTGGGGATAAAACCCAGTGGTTGGTTCCGGCGGGAAATTGCAGCTAACAAGAGTTCCCTGTTGTTGATTTTAGTGCTGGCTGTTTATTTTTATTGGCCAACCATTTTGACTTTACTGCAGCCGGAATGGAAGTTAGTTGTGCAGCTTGTCATTGAAATGAGTTTCTCGTAGTTGATGTCTTTGGGTAATCGATGTCATTAAGTTGAGCGAAATGAGAAGATAAACGTAAAGAAGAATTTCAAGTGCCTTAAAGTTATTTTAAAGTTTGTTTGGAAATTAATCAGTAAATTGAAAAAATTTTATAAAAGTTCTCGAATTCAAACTGCAAAGTTCTTTACTTGATTCTATAAAATGAAAAGTACTCTACTCGTATTTGCATAGAAATTTACGTTTAATCTTCCCAATATTTGGGGAATTTTAATTTAAAATTGTAGCTAATGTTAAATAAATAATAGTATCACTTATCCGCAAATAATAACAATTCAAAGCAAACCACAAATAAATTTTTGTTGGCAGATATAATTTACAATTTATGATTAGCCCAAACATTTTTTCCACCACATTAAACTCCTCCAAAATTGTTCACCCTGATTAATGTCATTTTAAATATTTGCCAACGCAATTAAAATTAAATCCCATATCCGAGTAAATATTCCACAGAAAATATACAACATACCATATAATTAAAAAAAGAATCAAAAATTTAAATATGAATTGCGAGAGCTGATGACAATTTTCCGAGAGAAGCAAAAATGTAAATTCGAAATGCACTCGAAAATATTGTTAACAGCTAAATAAACACTCGGCTCGGGGCAAAGGCAGCAACAAGATACAAAAATACTATACAATTAAGTACGAATTGCAACAACAAAGAGCAGCTGCGTGTAAAACAACAGTGAAAACAAAAGTTGAACAACAAATGAAGGCTGTTCGAGAGGGGAGAATGGATGGGTGGGCTGTGAAGGGTCGCCAGGTGGATTGGCGCCACCTTGCCACAATTCTCATGCAAGCACACCTTCCCCATGCAATCACCATGCTTTAACGACCAGAACAATACAATTAACACATGTCTGCGGATGAATACGCCGGCTACTCTGCAGGATGTGTCTTTGCGCTGGCTTTCACCTTTCCTTTGGAGCCCTTCCTCATAGTGTGTACATCCTTCCGTCCTTCCTTCCTACTTCCTTCCGCTGCTGGTGCTGCTGTTTTGGTGGCATGCCAAATGAGAGCTGTCGTTCGTGCCACATTTCAATTGTATCTCCATCTCCATGCTAACATGCTCCTGACTCATGCCATTTTTGCCCACTTATACGTCATTTAATTGCAAGCATAACATTTTGTATGCAAGCTTTTTCGTGCTTTTTTATTTATTTTATAGTTTAAATTTGTTTGGTTTTTTTTATATTATTTACTTCATTTTTCTGTTCATTAATGAGTTGCGGTTGAAGTGGCTCTGATTTTTAATGGATGGTCAATGGAATAATTCGAGTGTTTGCAGAGTAAAGAAAGAAATTTCATTAATTTGTGCATGGAAATGACTTAATTTACGCGTCGATTTTTGAGCACAGGGGAGCCTTAATATGGACAAAATAAATAAATAATATAGTAGGTATAAAGAATCATACAGCTTTGTTCTCTTCATTGAAGTATTACTGTACCAGTAAAAAATGTATTATTATTATATAAAATAATATATTTTATATAGCACACGCACTTATCTCTGGCAAAAAAATTTCTTAAATATTTTTCATAATTGCAAAAACAAGTTTAAATCCCATGTTGAAGCTTTCCGAGAAATGTTTAACATGAAAGCCTGGTAATCTCTTGAAACTCGTTTCGTTCCTTTCCTGTATATTTTGCTCTAAAAAACTGATTAGAGAGAAACATTTTCAATGCAAATTTACTTTTCTCTCTTTAGTTTTCCCTTTCTGTTAAAGGTGTTTGAAAATCATTTGCTCAACAACATCAATTTCTATTTTCTATGTGCAATGGAATTTCTTTAGACTATTAAGGCGTTGTGTTGGTGTGTTGTTGTTGAAGCTCTTGGTGTGTTCTTTTGTTCGATGTTGCTTTACTTACTTTAATTTTTGTTGCTTTCTTGTAGTTGTTGTTGTGTATTTCTTTGGTGTATTTTAGTGTTATTTTTGTTAGTGTACATTTGCTTGTAAGTCTTTTTGAGCCTGGAAAGTTTTTGCCTTCTTCATTTTCTTTCTGAACTATTTTCTGAACTCCAATGCATATCCTTCATTTGCACTCCCATACACTCGTTCCGAATATCCAGGCCTGCTGCTGTCTCTGCCTGTGCCCTGCCCCTGCCACACCCACACTTCTCTTGCAGCACTTTCTCTTGTTGCTGTATTTTTTTCCCTAAGCTTTTACCAGCCTTTTGTGGGTATCTTTTCTATATTGCCTGCCTGCTGTTCCTTTTTCCTGTTCCTGTTACTGTTGCTTCCTTCCAGGCCGTAACCTTTGTGGCCTTCTATCTTCCTGTGTGTTTACCAGGTCTTGACAGAGCAGTAAATGGGAAAAGAGAGAGAGAGAGAAAAAAAGATGATACCAAGAGTGGAGCTTAGCTTTTGTACTTACTTATATCGAAATGTCAAAAGCGGTTAGCAAACGCAACGAAAGTTCATCACTTACCACCCGTTGATGTGGCTGAAGGCTGCCACAGCGCGCTGTGGTTGCAGTGACCTTGAAGCCAGAATCAGCGGGAGAAAATGCGGCTTATAGGTAAAGTGGTATTCATAGTCGCAACTCAAGGATAATGGATGGGTAACGATAGCTACTTATAGAAAAGTAGCATGCATTAGACATTATTATTACATATATTCTACCCGAAATTAACTTAAACAGACAGACAGACCAAGAAGAACAAGTAAAACTAATATGAGAAACATGAAGCTTTTATGTTTGAATTGAAATGTTAAAATTAAAAAAATATTATCTTGTACATGTATCTTTTTCGTGGTCTGAAACTGCGTCTCCTGTTTGTGCTACTGCTGAGTGCTTTCTGTTTTTCCTTGTATGGATTATACTCACATAAATATATCCAGAAAAACACTGCCATCCTTTTCTGTTAAATTTTCTTTTTATAGATTTTTCCTATAACTTTTTCCGTGTGATTTTCAAGGTTTTTTCTCAGTCTTTCTTTTATTAATTTTTGCCAGCAACTGGATGCTTGTGTCTTTCCTTTTGTAATTACTCTGTCTTGGATTTAGAAAATTTTCCTGATTTATTTGAGATATTTCTTTATTCTGTGGCGTGTCATCTGTTGATGACATTTTTCAGCTAATTTCCACTCGCATTTCAAACATTTTTTTCCTTTTGCCCTGCCTGTTATTGGCAGTGCTATTTTTTGTTCTCCTTT